CCCAGCAGCTCGGGCTGCACGCCGCCGCTCCGCACCGCCCGCGGCCGCGCCTCCGCCATGCCGCCGCCCAGAGCCGCCGGAGCACGGACGCACCAGACAACGGCACCGAGGAGCCTGCGGTCACCTGTGGGTGGCCTTCGGGGGCTGTGCCGCGAGGCTTCCTGTTGCCGAGGAAACAGGAACGGTGACCCCACAATGCAAGCAGAGCCATCTGCCCTGCCGACCCCTGCCCCCCTCTGAACGGAGACCTCCCCGGCCAGGGACCCACAGAGTTTCTCAAAAATGAGGCGCCTAAGGTCCCCGTGGAGGGATGTGTGGACGTGACCGCGGGCTAGAAGAGCTGTTGGGAGATCCCAGCTCCTCGCTTACAGTGAAACAGCCGCCGAGACGATGGAGTCATGAATGGGGCCTGAGTAGGTTGCTCTTTGGGCGGCAAACCTCAAGGACAGCAGTTCAAACCCTCCAGCATCTAGGGGAGAAAGAGGTACCCTAAAGATTTCCAACCTCGGAAACCTACAGAATCCACTTGATGGCTGGCGTTGAATGAGTTGGGAAGGGAGCTGCCCAACCCCCACTGGACCGAGCTTGGGTCCAACTTCTGGCGTTCCGCAGTACTCTGCCAACGGAGAGGCAGAGTTGAGGAAAGATGGCAAAACTTGGTTGTTCTCATCTGGCCTCATCCAATCCTAACAGGGTTGTGGTTGATTTCTCCCCCTCCACTATTTTTGTGTCTACATGAAAACATGCGTTTTTGTAGAAATTTTGAAAAACAAACACACTGGAGACATGAAGCCTTTTTCTGCCTGACATACATTTTGCACTTTCAATTGTCCCCAGTTCAAAGAGGAAAGAGTTAGAACCACAGTAATACTAGCTACAGGGATGGCTGTGCGGCGCTGCAGGACAGAGCAGCGTGGCGTTCCTAAGGTTATTATGCGTCTGAGCGACTTTTCTGGCACCTAACACCAAGAATATCTGGCACAGTGTGTGTGATGTGCTGAGCCCTCTACTTGGCATTTAATATAATTTTATTATTGTTATTATTTTAAATCATTTTATTGGGGGCTCATACAACTTTTATCACAATCCATGTATGCCCATTGTATGTCAAGCACATTTGTACATTTGTTGCCTTCATCATTCTCAAAACATTTGCTTTCTACTTGAGCCCTTGGTATCAGCTCCTCATTTTTCCCCTCCCTTCCCGTT